ATGAAACTGTGCAGCTCAAACGCTATACTTTTCCGCTCACACTGAAAAAAAATTAGAGGGAACATTGGCAGGATCCCCATAATTATGTGATCAAAATTCAAATGCTATGCAACTGATTAATATTTATGACTATTGCTATGTCCCGGGTCATGTGATCACTTCTGAGACCTTCTGAGAAGCAAAATCAATGGGGAAGCCAGATTCACTTAACAACTGGGTTACTAACTTATCAACTGCAGTGATTCACTTAACAACTGAGGCAGGAAAGTTTGTAAAATGGGGGAAAACTCACCTAACAAGTGTCTGAACAACAGAAATCTTGGGCTAAATTGTGGTCATAAATCAAGGACTACCTATAGTATGTGACTTAGAAAATTAGTTGGGTCAAGAGACTTCCAATCTAATAAAATATTTTAATGGGAAATTCTAAAAATAAAAAAACCTTAATAGAAATGTATGCTGTAATTAAGCTGCAGGTAATAGATTATTATTACTAATAGGTATAGATTATTATAATAGGGACATGGAGATGAGCATCATTTCCTAGAGTCAGAAACGACTAGCACATATATGCGAGAGGAACCTTTACCTTTACCTAATAGATTATACAAATCAGTCAGCAGTATGGGTGATAAAATTGTGGGGTTATAATGTATTTTGAACAGAGAGCAGAAACTCGGAAGAGCTTTCCAGAACAAGTTATTTGTCCTGAGTCAAGCTATCATTCAAATTATTCATAATTAAAACAGTTTGAGAAATATCACTATAGTATTTATTATGCTAATTGAAAACATTAATATTTTATTATACTGTATTATACTAAGATCAATAATGATGATGGTGATAGCCAGTGCCACATAATTAATCAAATATTATTTATTGAGTTAAAATATTTAATACTAATATTTGGGTTTTAATAATAGCCTATATTACATTTTTTCTGCACAAAATTTCAATTTATGGGCTACCCTATTCTTGTTTTGGGGAGTGATAGGTTCTGCTAACAATTTTGTAATATGTTTAGTATATTTTAATTATATTTTAAATATCATGTGAGTAATTTAAATGTATGATTTTTAGATAGAAAGTAAAACTATTCCAACTTATATTATCATTAAGAAAATATATGAGAACTTAATGCCTATCTATTTTTTATTAGGTGCCTATCCAAGACTATCATTGAGTTTTAAGTTGAAGAGGAATATTGGATACTTTATTCTTCAGACCTACATGCCCTCAGTATTGATTACCATTTTATCATGGGTATCCTTCTGGATAAATTATGATGCATCAGCAGCAAGAGTGGCTCTTGGTATGAAATGGTGATGAGTAGGACATTACTTCATTTGCAATATCAAATATCAATTACTAGAATTTGCAACATATTAATAGGTCAATATCATTTATATAAATATTGTATTAGTTTGGATTGATTCAGTAATGGTTCATCTTAAATATATAACCATTTTAATAAAATCTGTTAACTGAACTCTCCAAATGGAGCTTAGTTTCCTTATTACTCTAGGAATCTTATTCAAGAACGAACTTTAGAGAAAGATTGTAGTACCCTAATTTTAAATTTAAGGACAATTTAAATTTGAAGGAAGAATGCAAAGATAGTAGAATAAAAAGGGGCATGCCTTCTTTTTCTAATCAATCTTTCCCTTAGGGGCCTCTGATTTACTCAATGACACAATTGATGAAAGTCTGCTTAAGGCCAAGTCTTTAAAGCCAGCATTGTGTGAGAGAGTAACTCTCCACTTCTGAAAATGCTGGTCAAAGTGCCTTAAGGCATGTCGCTTCTGGATTTACTGTACTATAGCTTCAACTTACCCTGGAGGATACTCAGCATCCACCAAGGGGGATTCAAGTTGGACAGCTTTTACAAGTACAGAAGGATTGCTCAGAACATCAGCTGGAGACATTAGTTTAAAGACTTTTAGTATTAACTTTCTCAATTTGTGAGATTGCCAGCAGTATTCCAAGCTTCTCACTATTTTTAATAACAATAGTGCATGTATCTAAATCACACATGAATACTACTTTTTGATTATATATTTCAGGAAAAATGTTACAGCTATGAAGTCTTTCTGTGAGAATTGTATTGGTACTTGAGACATTTCTGTTATTTTTCCAGGAAATCAGGATTCCCCTAGGCTTCATTAATTTCAAATATTTGGTGCTGTGTGTGTGTGTGTGTGTGTGTGTGTGTGTGTGTTCCTCCCTCCCTTCCTTTCTCCCTTTCTATCTCTTATTTTAAAAGATTTCTTGCCTTGCAAGTGTTGCTGAGGGCTTTGTATACTGTTAATTCCTGCTTATTTGAGTGTTGGCTGCTGGAACGGGATGTGTCCTAGACTTTTTGATTACCTCTTTGCTTTTTGCTACCTGTTTTGGTTTGTAAATATGGTTTATTTCTAAGTGTCTATTAATGGCTGATTTGTTTGAATGTCAAGCTTCCAAGAATTCTCATTTTCTCATTTAATATTTTTGGATTTGGATTGGTCTAGGATACAACTTCTCAATTGAAATTTTGATTGATTCTATCCATGTGTGGTATGATTAAAAAGTTTTCATCATGTCTTCTAACTCCTAGTTAATCTTCATTGGTGAGCTCTACTAATCTTCTATCCTGGCTGGTATGTAGATGACATCTTCAACATAGTAAAAGAGGAATGAGTAGAGCAGAGCAGAATTCTTTATTGGCCAAGTTTGATTGGACTCACAAGAAATTTGTCTCCAGTGCATAAGCTATCAGTGTACATAAAGGCAATATGTGATAAATCATGATCATAGTCATCATAAAAATACATTCATCACAAATCATAAGATACAACACTTAGTGATAGTCATAGGATACTAAATAAGCAATGAACATAAATCATACTAGGATACTAAGTAAACAATATAATTATAAGATACAAGCAACACAGTTATAGTCCAAAAAAGATAAGGAGATAGGTAATAGGAAAGATGAGAAGAATAATACAGCCTTACTAGATCGTTGACAGTGTTGTGGGAATTAGTTGTTTAGCTGAGTGATGGCATAAGGGGGGCAGGGGAGACTGTCCTTGTGTTTAGTTGTTCTGGCATGCAGTGCCCTATAGTGTTATTTCGAGGGTAGAAGTTGAAACAGTTTATGTCCAGGATGTGAGGGGTCTATAGCTATTTCCACAGCCCCCTTTCTGACTCGTGCAGTATACAGGTCCTCACTAGAAGGCAGGCAGGTAGCAATTGTTTTTTTTTTCTGCAGTTCTAATTATCTGTTGAAATCCATGTCTCTGTTGTTTGGTTGCTGTGCCAAATTAGACAGTTATAAAGTATAAATGACAGACTCAATAATTTCTCTGTAGAACTGTATCAGCAGCTCTGGCAGTCTGAGCTTTCTGATCTGGCACAGAAAGAACATTCTTTTTTAATGACATTTTTGATGTTAGGTGTCCATTTTAAGCCTTGAGATATTATAGAACCTAGAAACTTGAAGGTCTCTACTGTTGATACTGTGTTGTCTACTATTGTAAGAAGTAGTAGTATAGGAGAGTTTCTCCTAAAATCTACTATCATTTCTACAGTTTTCAGTGTGTTCGGTTCAAGATTGTTCCGGCTGCACCACAAGGCTAATGCAGATTTGTCATTGTCTTGAATGCTACCAATCACTATTGTGTCATCTGCAAACTTCAGTACTTCAACAGAGGGCTCATTTGAGATATAGTCATTGGTATATAGAGAGGAGAGGAGAGGAGAGAGCACATAGCTCTGTGTGTGTGGGGGGGGGCTATGTTAATTGTACAGGTATCTGATGTTATTTTGCCTAGCTTCACCTGCTGCTTCCTGTCTGTCAGGAAGCTTATGATCCACTTACAAATGTGGTCAGGCACAGATGGCTGATTTTGTTTAGTTAGAAGAATACCTGGAATGATGGTATTGAATGCCAAGCTGAAGTCTACAAAAAGGACCCTTGCATAGGTCCTTGGAGATTCAAGATGTTGTAGGATGTAGTGAAGAGCCATATTAACAGCATCATCTGCCGATCTGTTTGCAAGGGGTCTAACAGTGAATCCATGATGGTTTTCAGGTGGGCCACTACTAACCTTTCAAACATTTTTATAATTACGTATGTCAGAGCAACCGGTCTGTAGTCATTCAGTTCCTTGTGGAGGGTTTCTGCAGCACTAGAATGATAATAGAGAATACTCATTAAACAATCAACTTCTTCAAAAGAATAAAATTCATAAAGAAACAAGAAAACAACAACATACTACTTGCCCTGGTTATCAGCAAATGAAACAAGGTCAAATTAGAAATACAATTCTATCAAAAAAACCACAAACACCAACCAAATGCTCCACTATCCACTCCAACCAAGTGCTTCACTACTTTCCACAAAAGCAGCTATGTAGGAACATTATACAGATTAGGACAAATGTATTGCAGCAACCCAGAACACATGAAATAGGAAACAGACCACCCATCCAATAACTTCCAACAAAATGGATACTCACCCAGTTTTGTCAAAAATTATCCGATGATTCAACTCTACAGCACAATCAACACAAGCTATGAAAAAAACAACACTACCATACATTAAAAACATCTCAGAAATAATCAACAGACTACTAACCACATTTCTGCATTACTGTAGCACACAAATCAACTAAAACCCTCCAAAATATCTTAAGTAAACCAAAAGATCCAGCATCTCAAAAGAGGAGTCATCTACAACATACAGTGTAAGGACCATAATACCCACTATTTATTTATTCGTAAAATTTATGGGCCGCCCATCTTACCTCAAGGTAACTCTAGGCAGTTTACAATCATAAAAGGTAAAAATTGTATAAGCTAAAAGACTATGTAGGAATAGACAGGCAGAAGGCAAGCAGAGCATATCCATAAACAGTGACACCAACTAGCAATCAGAACACATAACAAAAGTTTTTAATCTCACAACACATGAGCAGCTTCAACCACAGCCCATCAACACTGCCAGGCATCTTCTCTTACAATACTGAGTTGGGTAATGGAGCATCTGCAAGCAAGCAACCAAGCTCAGAGAGCACCAAGGACTCTAGTTCAACCCTGAGCTACATATATTTTCTTCTATTAGATAGAATGTTGTCTCTCTTGCAATTTTACTTAGTTTTTTTTTTATATTACTGAAAAACTCTTGGAAATTACTTCCAAAGTAAGTTAGAAAAATAATGCAAAAAGTTACTGATTTTTGTTTTTCATTCTTTTTAGGTATTACAACTGTGCTTACTATGACAACTATCAACACTCATCTCAGAGAGACTTTGCCTAAGATTCCATATGTCAAAGCCATTGATATGTATCTTATGGGCTGCTTTGTATTTGTCTTCTTGGCCTTACTTGAATATGCCTTTGTCAACTATATCTTCTTTGGAAAGGGCCCTCAAAGGCAGAAGAAACTTGCTGAAAAGACAGCCAAGGCAAACAATGATCGTTCTAAGTTTGAAAGCAACCGGGTAGGATTTTTCATATCTTCTACAAGTCTGTCTTATTTTCAGCTTCAAGGGATAGTTCCAATCAATGGAATTAAGTATTATTATCTTGCTAATTGGATTGCATATTATAGAGAAAGCATAGTCATCAGCACCACTTTATATTCATTACAGTTTATCAATATAAAATATATAGCATATACCAGAATGCAGTAAGCACAAAAATTCCTAAAAACAGTGTACACATTTAAAAAACTTCAAAATCACAATAGTGAAAAATAATCACAGGAATTTGTCTTTTCATCATTGGTCTTACTATAGTTTTCCTTCCTTCCTTCCTTCCTTCCTTCCTTCCTTCCTTCCTTCCTTCCTTCCTTC